CTGCTATGTGCAGCAGTGCCCGAAGAGTAGTCATCTTCGGGGTTGGGGCAAAGGTCTGAAAGAAGTCCACCCCCTCACGCTGGCTGAAGCCTCGAGCAACATAGCAAGCCTTGAAAACAGGTGGCTCTCTAGGAGGGCGCTTCACCTTGAAGAGCCATCGGCCATTGACTATGTTCACCCCAGGTGGGGGAACTGCGTCGACGAAGGTATTGGTGGATCTCCAATATGCCATCTCCTGCTCCGTGGCAGCTATCCACTGAGAGGCCCAGGGTCCCGAGGTGGCCTCAGCGTAGGTGCGAGGGGTTGGGATGTCAAGGGCGCCTGAGTCATCCTCAGGGACTAGCAGCATGGAACAGAGATGGGGAGCGGCCTCTTATAGGAAAGCAAGCTCGTACTGTCTGTCCACTAGGACGTCACTGCCAAGGGCAGCCACACCCCCGACGGACGGAGGGTAGGTAGGGTCAAAGACCAGAGCAGTGGCAAACTCAAGGCGGCAGGTAGCGGCGAAGTCAGTGACAGCAGCGACAAGAGCCGACAAACTCGAGACAGGAACGGATGGGTCGGTAACAAGAGAGGCAAGGACACGAGGAACAAGGGGACGAGCAGCACGGAGGAAGTCAGAGAACGGAGGCGGGGCCACAACAAGTGACGACGGAGGAGGAGACGGGAGGAGCGGAGGAGCATGAGACACGTGGGAGCGAAGCAAGATAGGGTGAGAATGCGGAACAGGGGAGGAAGGACGAGCACAAGAGGGACGACAAGACCAGACATGAGACGGAGGAGTTGGGTCAGGAGAGAGGGGAGGAGACACAGGAGGAGAACGGGGAGGGAAACGAGCCAGAGACGAGTCCGGGGGGAGGAAACACTGGGCCGTAGACCGGTGGAGGAGGAGGCGGCGGCGACGGAGGAGGCACCGGCAGGCGGTCAGGGGAAGGAAGACTGAGGAGGCGAAGAGCGGACATCAGCGGCGACAGCTGCGACTGCTGCTCGACTCCAACACCAAAACCTCCAGCGACAGCACAGCTCCCTCCGAGAATCTCCATGCCAGCACCCCCAGAACGGGAACCCGCTCCAGCACCTGCTCCAGCACTCTCCCCAGCACCCCCATAACGCACGAACCCCAGCGGCCATGACGACGGCAGCTCGCCCGCGGCAGCGACGGCAACGGCGAAGGCGGCTGCGGCGATGACAGCAACGGCGATGACGAAGAGACCGGGGTGGGGAGGGGATAAGAGGAGGGACTCCGCAGAGCTGCGAGAGTCAGCACACTCCTCGGCAGGGACACCCGACGGGAGAGGGGTGACGTGAGACACACCAGACGGGGCAAGGAGGGGAGGGGGGGGAGCCGGGGCAACCAAGGGAGGGGGAAACAAGAACAGGGGGGGGGTAACCGGGGGACCATGGTGGGGAAAGCGGTGGTAAAAGGAGACGGACTCGTCAAATGTGACGTCGTGGGAGTGAAAGAAGCGGTGAGACGGCGGGTGGTAAAAGTGCCAGTCAGACGAGTCCAGGGTGAAACCTAGGAAGACATTAAGGACGGTGCGGGCAGTGAGCTTGTTCGTGCTTGAGGCACGAACGTGAGCAAGGCTGCACCAGACGTGGAACGCAGACGCGTCACCAGGGGACGCGGTCCAAAAGAGGGTCGGCAAAACTAGCGGCTGCTGAGGGTGCGGCCACAGGTTAAGCTGGTGAGCAGCGTAGCGAACAGCGAACGGCCACAGAAAATGGGGTGCACCGGCATGGATCATGGAGGTACGAGCCACCTCCATGACCAAACCGATGCGTCGCTCAGGGACCCCATTCTGCTGCGGGGAGTCTGGCAGGGTGTACGTCTGGGTGATGCCCTCCACACGACAGAAGCGACCAGCCTAAGGCGAACTCGCCACCATAGTCGGAGTGAAGACACAACCCAGGGAGACCTCGGTGAACACGCGCAGAGACAAGCCACGAGATAAGAACGTCAAGCACGTCGGCCTTCCGCTCCAGGGGAAACATGGTGGTGTAGAGCGTGTAGTCGTCGACAAGCACTAGGAAGTAGCGCTCTCGACGTGGCCCATGGATGGGGGCGGGGCCCCAGACGTCCATGTGCAGGGTCTGCAGCGGTGCGGCAGTTGGGGGAAACGAGGAGGAGTGAGGGGCACGGCGGAGTTGGCCCTCGACGAAGGGCATGCACGGCGGTGCTGGTGAGGAGGGTAGCCCGGGGAACGACTCAGGGAGACCTACGACAAGACCGTGCTGAGACATGTGACGAAGACGTGTGAGGGCAGGTTGACCTAGACGGTGGTGCCACAGAAGCGACGGGTGAGTAGGCGACCGACACGAGCAAGCCGCAGCAACCTGGGTAGATGCAGACACCTGGGGAGACGTCCCAACCGGGGGGTACACGGTGTCCAGCGTGAACAGGCCAGACACCGGGTCCCGAGGGAATGTGGTGAGGGGAGCACCAGTGGCAGCCTCGGTACAGACAGCGTACCGCTCGTGACCAGAGAACATAGTGGTGACGCCAAGGTCCTGGAGGCAGCCGACACCAACTAGGTTCCTAGAGAACGAGGGGATGTGCAAGCCTGTAAGGGAGCCTGAAGGAACCACCAGACAGGGAAGGGTGGCGGAGCTATGGGTGACTACAGGACCTGAGGAAGGTTCTGCAAGGGCAACTATGGCGGGAGTGGCAAGCGGCGGAAGCGTAGCGGAGTCCCGAAAGAAACACCGAGAAGCGCCGGAGTCCAGGGTGAAGGAGAGCGCGGCAATGGCGACGGGGGTCGGAGGAGCGAGGGTGGAGCCTAGGCTAAACAAAGCAGGGAATCCTACGCCTAGCGCAATAGGGGAGCCTGAACTAGGCACACTGGGCACACCTACACTAGGCAATACGGAGTAATAGGAACCAGTCACACTAGAGTCATCAACATACAGCACATACAATGCAGAGCTAATCTCATCCATGTCCATATCAAAGATCCTAACACCACGGCGGAGCAGACTGTGCCAATCGGGGAGGTATGGCGCCGAGCCGAAGCGGAGACGAAACAGGTCGTCTAGGCGACTGAGACAAATGGGGGTATGGCCGATCTTACCGCACACGAGGCCGCGGCAAGGACCGTTCTAGAGCTGGTACTGGCAGCGCCTATCACTCGGACCACCACCCGACGTCACGCTACGTGCACGACCACTGCGACCACCTCCCCCACCTACGCCAGGTCACCCAGGCGGGAGACGGCCGACCCACCGCTGCTACTTGCTGCTGCTGGTCCAGCTGTCTTGCCTGCTGTTGCTGCTGCTGCTGCTGCTGGGGCTGCTGCTCCGAGGTACCAACCCCAGCCCCCTCGTCAGTTTTACCAGCGGACGAACCACCTCCACCACCGCCTCCACCGCCTCCACCCCCTCCTCCGCTACCTCCGCCGCGCCTAGCATTGGGGCGGCGACCCTTATCCGGACGAAACTGCGATGCGGCAGCCGCGGCGACTGTCTCCGCAGCAGGGGCTTTCTCAGCGACAACAGCAGAACCTTCAGAGTAAGTGCACGGGGCGGGGGCACAGCCCTGAAAGATAGTCACCAACACATTATCGCTAGACTGGGCGATAGAGCGTTGGCGAGTCTCTATGGCAGACAGGGTGTCAACAAAGTCAGTGAGGGTCAGGTCAGCGCGGTGGAGACTAAGAAAGTGATCCCGGGCGGTAGCAAGGCGGTCAGGGAGGCGGGTGGCAAGCAGGTAAAGGGTAGAGCAGATGGGGGGCTGAAACACACGAAGCTGGGCCTCAGTACAGGCAGTGCGCCAGGTCAGCGATAGTGGAGAAAGACGCGAGATCAGGAAAGAGCATGGGCAGGATCAGGCGACCGATGGAGGCAGAGGGCGGGGTGGAATAGCGCACGACAACAGCCTCTAGGAACTCCTGCGGAGTCCTGACTGACCTAAAGCGGGGGCGCTCAGACAGGGGGAGGGCATGACTAATCGCGAGCTGTGCGACTGCGTCACACGAAAACCAGACTGCACGAGCAAGGGCAGCGGCGGCAGCGGACTCACAGTCAGCTGACGTGGGGTCAGCGAGTAGAGCAGCAGGGGGGTCAGGGCAGGGGAGCGTACCGTCGACGTGGACGGCCAGGGAGTGGCCGTCCTGCCGCTGACCAGTGAGGTGACGGCGGAGGTCGACGAGCCATGTGTCGAACTCAACCAGCTGACCCTCCGCGTCAAAGCGCAACACCGAGTCGGCCATCATGGACGCTGGAGCAGCAGAAAGGCGGTAGTGGGCTGTACTGAGCGACAGAGTGTGGTGGGAAGCAGTGGTGTGTGGTGCGGTGTGGTGCAGTGCAGTAAACTACGGTAGAGTGAGGTGCAGTATGGTAGGGTGCGGTGCAGTGCGATGCAGGGCGGTGGAGCGCGGTGGAAAGGGCCGAGGAAGCTAGGTGGGAGCCGAGGGGGCAGCTGAGGGACGGGGCCGCGAGGAGGCTTGGCGGTGCGGCCGCGGGGCGGCTGGTCAACAGGGGCCGCGTGGCGGCTGAAAGACAGGGCCGCGTGGCGTCTGGGAGACGGGGCCGCGGGGGGCGAGGCGACGGGGCCGGCTAGGCGGCTAGGTGACAGGGCCGGCGAGGCAACGGGGCCGGCTAGGCTACGGGTCCGGCTGAGTGATGGGGTCGGCTAAGCGACGGGGCCGGCTAGGCGACGGGGCCGGTGAGGCGACAGGGCCGGCTGGGTGACGGGGCCGGCTGGGCGACGGGGCCGGCTAGGCGACGGGGCCGGTTGGGCGACGAGGCCGACTAGGCAACGAGGCTGGCAGGGCGACGAGGCCGGATAGGCGACGAGGCCAGGTAGGCGACGGGGACAGCTAGGCGACGGGGCCGGGTAGGCGACGGGGCCGGCTGGGCTACGGGGCCGGCTAGGCGACGGGGGCCACTAGGGGACGGGCCAGCACGGTCGGGAGGACGACGGGGCGGCTAGGACCTATGGTGGAAGCGCTGGTGGGCGGGGGGGACCTAACCTACTCATGACACATGTCAAAGTTAAACGAATGACTAGAACCATGGCATACAAGGGAATATAACCTAGTGGGTTGGACTCTCTAAGGCACAACCCTATGTAGCCTATAACAACATACAAGGATATGTTTGACAGTCTTCTCTTGTCTAGTTTGTACTCTTCTGACTGATCTTCGGACCCTTACCTCAGAGGTTGGACTAGTAGTGCCAACCTAAGTTGCATGTCTCTTGCTAGGCCCTGCCCCTTGTCCAGCCTAGGGGGTGTGTCAACATATATTTGTAAGAGACATGCAACTTAGGTTGGATAGACACCACCAGTCATCAGGCTCCAATATCCGAATCTGTTTCAAGTTCCAGCTGCTCTCACCCAGCGGCCTATGAGACGTTCCCCAGCAGCGACTCATCCTTGTGAGTGCACCCACTAACCAGCAGATTTTGATTGCCTCAGAAGTCACCTCTCCCAGCAGTCTGTGACACGTTCCCGCACAGCGACTCATCCTCGTGAGTGCTGCCACTAACCGGCACGATCCCACTGCCGTCCCGCAGCGTGCTCGCGGGCCCGCTGCTGGGCGTCATGTTGGATATCCGGTCCAGCTCCTCGTCCAGCGGCCGGTGCAAGGTGGACGCCGAGTGGATCTGCTCGTCGATATTCCGCGCAGCGCGGTTCACCTCATGCCCTACAAACTCGTCTTTCAGCGCCTCTAGTTCACTGGCGACCTTGGCCATGGTGGGGCGGGACGCGGTGGGCATGGCGGTGCAGGATGCGGCGAGCTCGGCGAGGCGGCGCACGAGGGCCTCGGGGGCTTGAATGCGCGGGTCGCAGATGTCGGCGATGCGCTTGGTGGCGAGCTTCTTCTGCGTCCACTCGCGGATGTTCACCTGCTGACCCCCCTCCACCACGAACACTGCGTTGCGGTTGGTTAGGAGCTCCAGGGCAAGCACGCCAAAACTGCGGGCAGAGAGGGTTGGTGCGCGGTGACAGGGGATGGGAATGAGGGAGGTTTTAGAAAGGTGGGAGCTTGTCTTGCCTAGTGGGCGCACCGAAATCCAGTGACTCCATATGCAGGAAACCAGGGCACCAACTGTGGCCAAGGGAACAGGACAGGCAGCAGCAGCACCAGCAGCAGTAGCCACTTACCTGTGCACGTCAGCGGTGGTGGGAGCCTTCTGAGACTGGGAGTAAGCGGGGTCCACATAGCCTGGCGTGCCAAGCACTCGCGTGGAGTGCAGCTGAGTTCCCTCACCCATTCTCACCAAGCCGAAATCAGCTATCTTCGACTGCCAGCGAGAAAGGGGGGGAATGTGGGGTGTGTCGGGGGGGAACAGAGTGAAGAGGTGTGGAGAGATGGAGAGATGAGGGAGAAAGCGAGATAGTGGGCAGGAGGGAGGGAGCATGAGAGCAAGAAACGGGGGGTTTTCACAAGCACAAGCATCATGATGCAGAAGGAACAAAGCAAGAAGCAAGCCAATGCATAAACAAACCTGCATGTTGGCATCCAGCAGGATGTTGGCAGGCTTGATGTCCCGGTGCACAATGCCAAAGCTGTGCAGGTACTCCAGGCCGCGCGCCACGCCTATCAGAATCTCCAGCCGCTGCTTCAGAGTCAAAGGGTCCTCTGATCAATGACAAGGCAGACAAGGAGGTTCAGGGAGGGAAGTCGGACAAGGCATTGATGCCAACCTAGGCCATCCATGGAACTCCCTACAAAATCAGTCCTTTCCTTTTGGCACCTACACAATGCAAAACATTTGCTGTTTATATCAATCGCCCGTCACAGCTCAACTCACCACACCACAATACAAATCCAGTCTACTCACCCCCTTCACCACCCTATCCCACATCGCAACCCATCCTCCTTCACCACACCACCCCGCACCACACCATCCTTCACAGCACCCCTCTTCACACCCCCCTTCACACACACCCCCTCCCCTTCACACACACCCCCCCTCACACTCTCCCCCCACACACCCCCCTTCACACCCCCCTTCGCCGCAGCACCCACCAGCACTGAGCCGCTTAGAGAGGTCGCCGTTGGGCATGAACTCGTAGATGACAATCTGCTCGATGTTCTCCGACGCCGCGTCGCCATCGATGCAGAACCCCAGCAGCCGCACCAGGTGCGGGTGGTGCTTCGTCGCCATCTCGTTCACCTGCCAGGCGTGAATGGGAAAGCATGGGGATGGGGGACAGGGGACGGGGGACAGGGGGCCGGGCACAGGGGACAGGAGACGGGGGACAGGGGACAGGGGGCGGGGGACAGGGGACAGGGGGCGGGGGACAGGGGACAGGGGGCGGGGGACAGGGGACAGGGGGCGGGGGACAGGGGATAGGGGGCGGGGGACAGGGGGCAGGGCACAGGGGCATATGTTTTTTTTTGTGAATTGTAGTTTTTACAGAAATCGCTGCTGAGCAGGCATAGCCAAGTGTGCATTCAGAATGGAGGACACACCTCCCTTCAGAGACACATGGACAGCGGAAGAGGGGGCCATGAGTACACCGCTAACGGTAATGCCTGCGAGCATGCCTCCTAAAACTTCTGGTCCATATATCAAGCCTACGATGATAGGACTGATAATTGCTAAAGCACCTGGTAAAAACATGCCCTTGATAGCTGCTTCCGTGGAAATATGAACAGCAAGAGGCAGCAGGTGCAGGGAGGGAGCGAGGGAGTGGGGTGACAGCGATGGGGAGGGAGATGGGAGGGGGGGGAGGGGGGAGAAAGGGGGGGAGGGGGGGGGGGGGGGTTTGGAGGAGGGAGAGAGGGTGGAGAGAGGGGGTGGGAAGAGGGAGCACCTCTCGTCGGAAGTCATTGGTGAGCACTCTGGCCCGTTTGACGGCCCAGGGAATGGCCGGGTTGTAGGGGTCCACCCCTCGAAACACGTCCCCAAACCCCCCGCTGCCAATCTTGTTGGCCACTGCCCAGTCGGACGTGGCCCGCGTAACCTCCTCCAGGGAATACTGCAGACACACCTGCGGGACAGCACTGCTGGGTACACGCACGGCTGAGCCTGCTGGGGACGAGGGGATGAGGGGATGAGGGGAGGAATGGGGGATGGGGGAGAGGGTAACAACACATGGCGAGACAAGGTTTACCAACGCAAGCATGTTCAATCCTCCGAAAGCTGAGCTGAGAAATTACCCTATGCTCTCCCCACCTCCCCTGCCCTCGCCTCTCCCCCCCCTTACTCCGTGGTTCACTTGTTCACATAACGGCCTTGCTACTCTCACACCCAGCCCAGCCAGACAGTCACCTCTGCGTGACTTCTTGGTCCTGAAGAGGAAGAGGAGAACGAAGCCCAGGCAGCCACACCCCAGCACTGCCACTGCTGCTGCCACCGAAATTCCCACCACCGCTGCTGCTGACAACCCCCCTGCAGCCTCAGGAGCGGGAGGAGGAGGTGGGGATGGGGACGGGGGTGGGGGAGGTGGGGGAGAAGGTGGAGGGGGAGGAGGAGGGGCAGGAGGAGGAGGGGCAGGAGGAGGAGGAGGGGGGGATGCGATGGGGGGAGGCGGCGGGGGAGCAAGGGGGGAGGAGGCGGTGCGGAGAGGCAGCCGTCGCAGAAGGATGGACAGGTTCTACAGAAAGTGCTCTGCGGGTACTGCTGCACCACACAGTCAGTCTGAGAGAAGTAGTTGGGACACGTGACCAGTTCGCCATCAAACGTGCTGGCGTGGAGAGAACGGAGGAAAGTGGGAAGTGGCAGGGTGGGAGAGGAGAGGAGGGAGGGGGAGAACACGGAAAGGTTAGATAGGGAAAGGTTAGGGAAAGGCTGGGGAAAGGTTAGGAAAAGGTTAGGGAGAGGTTAGGGAAAGGCTGGGGAAAGGTTAGGAAAAGGTTAGGGAAAGGTTAGGGAAAGGCTGGGGAAAGGTTAGGAAAAGGTTAGGGAAAGGTTAGGGAAAGCTTAGGGATGCGAAGGGAAAAGGGTGAGTGCAGAGCACGGACAAGTTGGTGAGGGTGATGAGAGCACCGAGACCAGGAGGGAGCGTTCCGGTGATGCTGTTGCGAGAGATGTCTCTGGCGGCGACACGGGGACAGAGGGGGGCGGTGCAGAGAAGAGAGCAGATAGATTGACTGACTGATGCCCGACACAAAAGGGCAGGTAAGGTGAAGAATGATAAAACGCGAGATGCGAGAGTGGAGGATGGGGAGGGAGGGACGCACAGAACGGACGGGTTGAAGTGAAGGAGAGGAAGCGGACAGGGAAGGCACAATAGGCGATTTGCACGTGCACGCACATGGTGTTGATTTCGGCCAATTCGGTGAGAGAAACGGGAACGCTCCCACTGAACTTGTTGTCTGCAACGACACTGAGAGGCGGGCATGGGTGTTAGGGAAGGGAGAAAGGGGGGGGGGGGGGGGGGGGGGAGGCGAGGGAAAGAAGGGAAGGGACAAGGGAGGGGGAGAGGAAGGCAGGGTAAAAAGGAAGGGGGCTGAGTCAGAGGGGTGGAGACTGAAAGAAACTCAAATGTTGTATTATTAGCGGGAATACAAACATACATAGGAACAGAAGAGAGGCTCGAGAGGTAAGGGGGCACAGTGCCACTAGCAGTTGGGTAGACCCTACGTGACCGCAAACGCTCTGGCGGGGCAGCGTTTAGCGTTTAAACGCTGCGTATAAACGCTAAACGCTAAAACGCTAAACGCTCGGGTAAAATTTTAGGGGCAGCCCGACGAAAAAATCGACCAATTTTTTTTTCGCGACATTGCGACCTGGCGAATTCAACTAGACATTCACCAAGTCGCAAATCCCAACCTAGCGACCAAAAAACACATCCAACTCTTTTGCCCCGCACAGCACCCTGTTCATCTACGACCACTCCAACCTAACCACTTTCTCCCCGTCTTCCATCACAATCTCTTCCCCATGAGAAACGGGAACCCTGGAGTTCCGCGCGCCATAGCCGTAGTTCAGATCTAGTCGTCATTCTCTCATCTCCCACGCCCACTCACCCTGGCCACCTAATTTCGCGCTAAGTTAAGAGCCCACGCCCATGTCGACCCCCCCTAATGCTGCAGACGCTAATCCTACAGCGTCTGCAGCGTCAAATATTTACGAGGCAGAGTCTAATCATGATATTTACAAGCATTACAAAGTTAGAGTTAAGGAAGCCGGGGTTGCCACGGCTAGGGTGGAATGTCGTTATTGCGGGCTGTCTTTTGTTGGCATTCCCAACCGGTGCGCTATGCATTTCGCGGAGTGGGAAGGACAAGGGCGGCGGGAGGTCAAGGAATGTCCCTCGGCACCAAAGGAGGTGAGGGAGGCAATGCAGGCACTATACGAAGGGAAGGCGTCTGTCAAGGCCCAGAAGCGTAAGGAGGTCGCGGATGCGGTGGAGGCCGTGGGGGGAGGGGAAAAGCGGGGCAAGATAACTACGTATTTCAGCAACGGCGCGGCATGTGCTAAGCGTGAGGCGGATGTGGCATTGTGCCTCATGTTTGCAGCCCTCCGCATCCCAGAACGTCATGCCGACCACCCACTCTTCGTCGATGCCGTGCATGCGGTCGCTCGTGCGGGAACAACGTACGTGCCGCCCAAACGCACGTACATTGGAGGAGCGGGGTTGAAGGAGTGTCGCACCCGCATCGATCTCGCCCTTGATGCACTCAAACAGAATTGGGAGAGGCATGGCGCCACCGTGGCTTCAGACATGATGACGGACCGGTGCGGGAGGCCGCAAGCGAACGTCATGTTGGTCAATGACTTCGGCGCCATGTTTGCCGACTGCATTGACTGCCGCATGGAGACGAAGACAGGCGGGTACATTGCCGGCATCCTCAGCCCTATCATCCAGAAAATCGGGCCTGTGAATGTGGTGGCGCTATGCACGGATGGGGGAGTAACTACGGCAAGCCCTGCAAGGTGTTGAGGGAGGAGTGGCCACACATTGAGCATGTGCCGTGCGCCACTCATGTCCTAGACCTGCTCATGGAAGACGTGGGAAAGCAGGCGTGGGCGAAGAGGGTGGTTGAGGGTGCGAACGAGGTGATAAATTACGTCCGCAATCACCACTGGACGAGGAACTTCTTGCACGAGCCGGGGGAGCTGAGGGGCAAGGTGCTGCAGCTGTTGAAGCCAGCGGGCACCCGGTTCGGAACCCAGTACATTGCAGTGTCGAGGCTTGTAGATCTCCACGGGAAGCTGACTGTGTTGGTGGCGGGCGAAACGTGGAAGGCGTGGGCCGTAGGGAAGCAGAAGGCGGCGGCCGATTCCATCCAGAGCATTGTGCTTAACCAGGCTTGGTGGGCAGCAGCTGAGTTCTTTGTCAAGCTGTTGAAGCTGCCCTACCTTGTGATGCGGTCGACTGATTCCTCGGCGAAGGGGATGATGGGGCAGATTTATGAGCTCATGCTCAAACTCACAGTGGACGTGACTGATCTGTTGACGAAGGAAGACTTGCAGCTGACGCCGGAGGATAAGGAGGGGATTGGGGAGATCATCCAGCATCGGTGGGACGTCAGCATGGCTTGCCCACTGCATGCTGTTGGCCGGATCCTCAACCTGGCCAACCAGGTTGCTAAGATCTTTGGCCCCGACAAGGAGTGCACCGACTTGTTTAAGGAGTTCATTGGCCGATACAGCAGCACCATCACCATCGATCGTAAGGAGGCAAAGGAGAAGAGTGCGGTAGTGGTTCAGTAGGAGGGAGTGACTGCATTCCTGAAGCTGAGGGGTTCCTTCGGCAAACCCGACGCAATAATGCAGCGGCAGAAGGTGAAGGAGGGGAGTCTAAGTATGGAGGACTGGTGGACCTGGCATGGGACCGACCACCCCGAGCTGGCAGAGCTCGCGTGTCGTGTGCTCACGCAGCCGGTGTCTGCATGTAGCTGCGAGCGTGGGTGGGCGGTGTGGGAATCGGTGCACACTGCACGCCGCAACCGTCTCGGGCCCGAGAAGTGCCGGGACTTGGTGTTTGTTGCGCACAACTGGAACGTTGTGCGCAATTGGCACAAAACCAGCGAGGAGCCTAGGGCGGTTCTTGCGGGGAACATCCCGGATGCTCCCATTCCAAAAGGATACAACGTCGATGAGGAGGGGCAGTTAGTGGAGGATGAGTATGGAGATGAGCCCGTGCTCGAGGACGAGTATGGGGAGGAGGAGGAGGAGGAGGAGGAGGAGGAGGAGGAGGAGGAGGAGGAGGAGAGGAGGAGGAGGAGGAGGAGGAGGAGGAGGAGGAGGAGGAGGAGGAGGAGGAGGAGGAGGAGGAGAGGAGGAGGAGGAGGAGGAGGAGGAGGAGGAGGAGGAGGAGGAGTAGGAGGAGACGAGGGAATGGCGGCGGCGGCTAAGAAGCATGGGGGGCTTTTGGGTAGGAGGGCGGTGGAAGGAAGACGGAGGGTGCTGTTGATTAGAGGGTGGTAGTAGGTAGTACATGTGGTTGTCGTTGACATGTGGATTTGACATGCCAAAACTTTTTTATGTGATACAATTTGGAGAAAAAATGTTGTAAACCATAATCCCCTTGCCTACCCCTACCTATCCCAGGTTTTTTTACCCTGCCCGGGAAAAAAAATTCGGCTGCCCGAGAGTGCGTTTACCTTAGCGTTTAGAAACTCAAGCAGTCGCGTTTAGCGTTTAAACGATGTGTTTAAAACGCTAAATGCGTTTGCGGTCACGTAGGGTAGACCCAAGGTAGTTGGGTTACCAAACCACTGGTTCGGGAAACCAAAAAAGGTTGGGAAACCCAATCACCATTGGTGCCAATTGTGGACCGTGGTTGGTTGGACCAATCACACTTGGTCCCAACAGTTGTGGTCTTGGTGCTTGCTCGGGGGCTCGAACCACAAGTGGGTTGGATTATCACCCCAAGCACAAAATGTGTACACCTAAAGGCATACTAGCCTAGCATGATATAATCTGACAGAGACAGCAAAACGCAAGGAGGCAAACACAACAGGTAGGCGATAACAGTTAACAATGCAAGGAGCAGCACAGCTGCTTTTGAGGTGCAAGTTTGCCCTTGTTTTTGCAGGACACAGAATGAACCAGAGAACGATTAGCCAGAGCAGGCAACGAAGCGAGAAGGTGAGAGTCGAGAGCAGATCAGTGAGGGCGCAGCAGAAAGAGAAAGAAGGAGTGAGGGGGGGACGGACGGACGGACGGACGGACGGACGGACGGACAGAGGGAGGGAGGGAGAGAGTGGCAGATAAGGCCGGGACTGACAGACTAGTGAGCGAGATGAGGTTGCTGAGATTGGACGGTAGGGGGCCGGAGAGCTTGTTAAAGCTTAGGTCGCTGCAGGACGAGGGAAGAAGCCAAGGGGAGAGGGGGGAAGGGGGGAGGGGGGAAGGGGCGGGAGGGGAGGGGGCAGGAGAGAGAGAGAGGAGGAGAAGGGGTGAAGGGAGATGCACACACGAAAGGGAAGGCGCAAGGGGGAGGGGTGGAGGTTGTGGGCAGTGGATGTAGTGAGGGAGAGAGGGGGTTGACTCCTGGTGCGGCCGTGCGGCATGAATGAAAGAAAGCAGACGGTGCAGTGGGATTAGTGAGATTGCTGTAGGGTGGCGAGTTGCAACCCCCGGGTACTTGCAGGGATGGAGCCGCCTAACATCGTCTCATTGCCAGCAGCGTACAGACTCTCGCTGAGACGGGATGGGATGGATATGCTGCCGAACTGAGGGAGGGAGGGAGGGAGGGAATGCATGGAGGGAGCAGAGAGGAGGTAAGGGACAGGAGGAAGGGAGAAGGGAAGGGAACGTGTGCTCACAGGGATTGCAGGTAGCTGTTGCTGGTGATTGATGGCGGAATGCCTTCCGTCAGATTGTTGCCATGGAGATCCCTGCACGCGGACGGGCGGAGAGGAGAACGAGGGGGGACAGGTGGTGGGTGGGGGAGGGGGGGGAGGAGGAGGAGGAGGAGGAGGAGAGGAGGAGGAGGAGGAGGAGGAGGAGGAGGAGGAGGAGGAGGAGGAGGAGGAGGAGGAGGAGGAGGAGGAGGAGGAGGAGGAGGAGGAGGAGGAGGAGGAGGAGGAGGAGGAGGAGGAGGAGGAGGAGCACTTACAGGATAGACATAAAAGAAACTGTGAGAACAGGGAAGTCTGGAACATGTGAGCCGCTTTCAGGGGCAGGATGCCCGGGTTGCAAGTCGCATGTGGTACAACTGGCACGTGACCACATGCCCACATGCATGTGTGTGTCAAGTGGGGAGGTAAAAATCGGCCGGGTAAGAGTGCAGGTGTGTGCATGTGTGTGTATGTGCGTGTATCTGTTGTGCTTGTGTGCATGCATGGCGTTAGCATGTCCACTCCCATATGTGTTGGGTTGGAGGGGGGGGGAGGGGTGAGGGAAGAGAGGGTAACTAACAGAGTGACAAGGCCAACAAGGTCTCCCAGACTGGCAGGAAGCGGCCCTGTCAGATCGTTGCTGTGTGCGTCCCTGCAGATGCAAATCGTGTCGTGGGGGAGGGGGGAGACAGCAGCGAGGGGGGGAGGACGAACAAGGAAGATTCAGAGGATTCTCAAAGTACAACTGCAGCAAGCAAGGGGGGCGCGGCTCACAGGGCAGTGAGAGTGTAGATTGCTTTTGAGACGACTCAAAGCTGAGGATTCTCAAAATACAACTGCAGCAAGGGGGACGGCTCACAGGGCAGTGAGAGAGTAGAGCTGTCCAAGAGCAGGAGGCAGGCCACCTCCTATACGGTTGCTGAACAGGTAGCTGGACGGAAGGGGCCAATGGCGGTCGAGTGGAGAGGAGTGGGGCGGAGAATGGGGGTGCAGGGGAACAGGGGAAGAAACTACAGGGGGATAACGGATGACAGAGGCAAGCAATAGCCACTCTACACCACTGCTGGCGAGAGGGGTGAGTTTGGAGGGGGGGTGAGGATGTAAAAGTTGGAAGATCGGAGGAGGGAGGGCTCACAGTTCTTGAAGGCTAGCAAGCAAGCCAAGGCTGGGAGGTAACATGCCAGTGAGGCCGTTGACAGACATGTTTCTGGAGGGGAGGGGGGTGGCGGGGGTGTAAGGAGAAAAAGGGGTTGGGGGGAGGGAGGGGGGGGGGAGAGTTGGGTTTGATGAAGAGGGCAAGAGAAAGGCTGTTGTACACCCCAGATGCTCATGTGATTGCAGAGGTACTCCATGATCTACCAAGTACGAGAGCAACAGAATCCAATCCAGGACACCCGTGGAAACCTATGCATACATAAACACATAGTAGATATTCCAAGTCTACATGATTACATGCATGGATGGATGCATCATGCACACATGCATGCAGGGACCAAGGCAGGGAGGAATAGCGACCAGCTGAGAGGGCGGGACTGACAGGCGCTTGAGGTTCGTCAGGCGACCAATACTGTTAGGGATAGGGCCTGAGAGCTGGTTGCTCTGCAGCGATCTGTGGGGGGAATAGGACGAGCACAGGAACGGAAATGGTGGACCAGTGTGAGTGTGTGGGTGCGCGTGTG